GCTGACTACCATCTGATTGACTACCATCTCCTTTGAAAGGTTGAACCAGCGCACAGTGGTTCCTTCAAAGAACACAGAAATTGCTTTGTAGGGGCAGAGTGGTTATAAGAAGGTGCTCCCAAAGAGGAACACAGTTTTTGGTGTTCATCCTTGAGACTTCAACTTCCTGGAAGAATGTCTAAGCCTCAGGCTAGGAACTAAGGACAGGGAGATGGAGGTACAGTATGAAGAATTACAATGAAGGCACTTTCTGCCATGATCCTGGCCTTAAGGGTTCCAGTTGGACTGGGCCCTGCTCTAAATACCTGCACCCTTTATGGGACTGAAAGCATAATTCTGGTGCTGGAATTCACAAGAGATAGAGATAAGCTCAGAGCTCACGCACTGCCTGGTTTCCACAAAGCTAGTAGGAGACCAAGCATCTCTAAACAAAGTACTACAGGGTGAACTGGTGTAAATATTTCTACATGCTCTGGGTTAAGCCCTCAGCAGGGGTAAAAATAACTTCATACTGTTCACCAAAAGCATAAGTACGGAGTCACAGACCCTGTAATGAATTCCCTGTTGCCTTGAAGGACTCCATTGTTTGAAGGGCCTCATTTTTAAATTATGTAGTCATTACGTAGACTAGAACTGCACTTGGAGGTGTTGTATTCTTAATTAAAAATTAAATTGCCTTTAACTTTTCAGAGCATACATACTAAAGGTTAGATTTCCTGTTAGCAAAAGTGGGTTTTTTCAGCCTAATTAATTGTGTTACTTCTGATGAAGCATAATTCACATTTCAGTTGCTGTAGCTTGAAGATAAATGTTAAACAATCTGTTTCCTCAGTTTAATATTTTTTTGTTTGATAAAATTCCTAATTTAATATTCTGAGTTTGAGTCCTACAAACTACTCCTCTTTCTTCCCATGTGATGTTTCATCTAATAGTCTTCAGTGTTGCTTTTTCTCATCTTTTAAAATTAGTTTTGTTTGTTTTATTATGCCACTCTATATGCAGTATGTTACGTGGGTAGGTATCCGAATTTTAACATTACATACATATTAAAATTATTTTTCTTGTACTTCTTTCTATAATCACTTTTCTCTTCAAGAGAATTCAGTGTTCTTTTCCTAAAACAGCCTTTATGCACTACGCAGGAAAGTTTGCTAGAAATAGACATGATGATGTGAGACTCACCCAAGGCAGGAGGCAAATCTGTGAAAGATGCTACATCTCAGCAAATATTAAGTTGTTGGCTGGAGGGTTTCCTTCCAAAAGTCTGCCTTTGCAAAAGGGCTGCTGGACAAGCTTCAGTAGCATGTGTTTAATACACAGGCTGTTCCACAGACAAACAGAAAGTTTCCTCCTCCTTATAATTGATTCAATTTATAATGGAAAAACAATCCCCCTGGACTTCTAGGCACTATTTAATTCTCTTCAAGAATTAAATGGCAGAAGGGCAAGAAGCAAGAAGCTCATCTGATGGGGGTGATCATTGTACCCTGGCACCTAAGATCCTCTACCTCTAATAGCATTTCTGGCATGATCCTGGTCAAATCATGCAGGCAACCCTGGGGTACCTTTGAGCCTGAGGAATAGCAGCAGCATTCCATGGAGCAGTGGGACCACAAGACTTATAAACTGGCAGGATCTTCACCACAGGAAAGGGATCATATCCATACCACTAGGAAGCCAATTATTGTGTGTATCTCTGCTGGAACAGATCTGTAACTAAAAATCTTCGTTGGTGCAGTTCCTCCTCTTTCCCTCAGTTGCTTCTTTCAAACTCATGGCTCAGTCCCTATAGGTGTGCTGATGCAGCTCTTTGTGGTCCAGTGCTGCGCGCAGAGTTACAGACCCAAAGTACAATAAAAATACTCTTTTCTAGTTAGCTACTGACCTGATTGATGAGATGCCCCAAGAATTACTGTGTTGTCCTGAATTTGGGGACTTTTTTCAGTGGCATTTGCTCTGTTTCCAAGGCTGGAAACTCCACAGCTTGGCACCACCAGCAAAGCCCCTAGGTCTTTGAATAATGCATTCAGACTGGTGTAAAACCATGGGAAGAAAGAAGAGTTCTGATCTGTGTTATATATGCTCAAAGTCCATAAACATTTTTTACTTATTTTAAAAGTGAGACAGTAGAATTTCCTCCAGGCTTTGCCTTTTACCGATTGGAAACATAAAGCTTTAAGATCGAGAGTTTATGCACAGGCTATTTATGTCCCTTTGATCTAATTGGTGATGTTTTATTTAAATAATAATGCAAATAAATCCTTGGGATAAATTAGGGAGTTGGAGATGTTTTCAGTTATGCAATATTACAAAGATCAACATAAACTCTTCTACTGTCTGAGTAAATAGCAAGAGAGAGCCAGTATCAGATACAGAACTGTAAACTCACATTTTGCTGTCCTTTGATCCCAACATGATTTGTTTTCTCTCAACATAAAGAAATTACTGAGGTGTGACCATGCTGTACAACTATTTTCTGGCGTGAGAAGAATTGCAGTACATGTAGGACATGGAATGTGTGAGGAAAAGAGAGGAATTCCGATAGCAGGGAGAAGAGATGGAAAAGAGGGCATTAAAGGCATGGGAAAGGAAGGCAAAAGAGATGTGAAAGTTTAGGAATGAGAAATATGCTAGCTGAAAGAAAGGAATAGGACATGATAGAGCAAATCATTCACCATTAAGATTTTTAGCCAAGCAGGTGCATAACACAGAATCTAATATTTGGGGGGCTTTGGGAATTGAAGTAGTTTATTTTCAGGAACAACCCTTTTCTATTCATTCCCTGTGCTAGCTGCTCCTGGACACCAGTAAATGGCACTCCTGTCCAGATATGACCATTGCCAGCCCAGACAGGCACCCCACCTGGGACCAGGTACAGCCTTTAACAGGCCCAGCACAGGTGTCATCCAGCTCCCACCTGCTCCCAGCAAGGTTGGAAGATGATGCTCATGGCAGAGCTAAAATAAATCCAAGAGGGGAAAAAGGCTAACAGTCTCTGTCTTATAGGCACAGAAATGTAAAATAAAATCAAGACAAATGAGCTGAACCTCTGTCAAAAGACAGGGGATGCCTGTCCCATGGGAGCTCTGTTCCCCACTGCCAATGCTGACTCACCTGTGTGCACAGAGCATGATGCACAGGTGTGGATCTGAGCTGGGAAGGCAGCTCAGTTCCCATGCCTGGTACAGATGACTTTAGCAAATTCCAAAATAGTTTCGGAGCCAAAAGCAGGAGGGTGAGCTCAGAGCCCTGAAAGAGTGGAGGGAGGGGAGACTTTTATCCTAAAGTCATTGTAAAGCCAAAGAGGGGTTTATCCTCCACAGCTAAATGAAAATGAAAAGGAAAAAAAAAAAAGAGAAGAAGAAGAAATGCAGGATAGCAACATTGGAGAGACAAAGACTGTCATGGACCAGTGCGAGTTTGCAAAATTATATGCAAATGACCCCAGTTTTGACCATGGTGGCCCTCTGCTAATCCCACAGAGAAAATCTACTTAGCGAAGGAAAGTTTTGTTTAATTTGGTTAACAGGGATCAAAATGCTGAATATATTTATATTTTCAGGAAAATGCCATATCTTTAATGCTTCAGTGACAAAGAGGGATCACAAGAGCTTAAAGCATGCAGAATAAAAGTCATGTAACATTTTGACCATATTCTGCAGTGCTGATAAAAATGAGTGTTGGACATGTGTCTTCATAATAGGCACCAGCCATTCCTGCTGCTGAATGTTTGGCTGAGTCCATATTGTTCTGTGTACACTGACCAAAAGAGAAGTTCCCTCTGGATTTACCATTCTAAAGGTGTCCCGAGGAAATGGGAGTGTTTTTCTCCCCTCCCTAGCTGACTCCTTACCATCATCCCGCCGTGTGACCTTTTCCCCACTAATCTGGGATAGGAACTTTTCCTGTATTTACAGGTTAAATGGAAGATACACATTCCACTTTTTACTCATTGTAATGAAGATCTTTTTGTCTGTCTCCGAATAAAGGATCGGGTTGGTTTACAAATTGCGGGTCAGCCCATTCCGCGACCTGGGCAAACAGCCCAGGTCAAATCTCCTCAAAGCCTCCCCACCCAACTGGAATAAGTTAATTTACCCCTCGACGGCTCCGGCCCCGCCGGGCATGGCCGGGCTTCCCTGCTTCCAGGGGCTATGGAGACACCCGGGGCGCTTGGTTCAGGCGGGGCTGGAGTTGCCCCGTCGGGAGGAGCCGTGCCGCGGTTCCGCGCCGGCGGCGAGGCTGGAGGGACTCGTTCCCGGAGCTTCCATTGGTTTTATTCTCAGCGCCCCGCACCTCCGCGGCGGTCGCCTGCCCTCCCCGCCCCGTCCTGCGCCTTCACCATTACTCTTCCTCCTCTGAACAAGCTGCGCCGCAGAGAAATTCGCTGGCAAAGCACACGGGAGACGCCGTTCGGACACGTGCCCCTGGAGCACCCCTCCACGGGCGCGTGGGAGGGCAGCACCCGCACGGTTTGCGGGGAAATGGGACATCCGCCGCCTCCGGAGTACCCCGGCACTCCCTCCCAGCCTCCGGTGACAGCCTGGGAGCAGAAGCCGGGCGGCACCGACACCCGGCCCGTCGCGTCCTGCCCCGCCTGCCCGAAGCGCCGGCCACGGCCGGTGCGTGCAGCAAGCTCCCTGGCCCTCGCTGACCACGTCTCGCTCGTGGGTTTTTTTGCCCTGGGTGGCTGCGTGGGAAGACTCCCACCGCCACCAGAGGAAGCTCCCTCATGGAAACAAAAAGCAGCGGCGGGTATAAACTTTTATTCCAAGGCATAACTTGTACAGGCACTGAACCCGGAGGTGGGAAGACGAGCGGATGGGGACAGCTTCAGGCCCTTGGAGAGGGCGGGCGGGGGCAGATCTGGGTCCCCGGGGGCTCCTCGCCAGCCGGGACCCCTGCGCATCTCCCTGCCCCCGGCAGCCTCCCCGTGCGCCCGAGTGTAACCCGCAGTGTCCGCGGTCATAAATAGGTGTTTTTTCAGGCGGGACGAGTCTCTATAGCATGGAGGGGTGCTGGCCCGGGGGCAGCCCGAAGGCGTTGGGGTGGGAATGGCCGAGGAGGTTGAGGTAGTGGCGGTCCAGCCCCTGCACGGATGAGAGGAAAGTGCTGCGCTGCTGGCCGGGGTTGGCGAGGGGTACGGCGGCGCTGGGCAAGTGGTAGGGCAGGGAGGGGTTGCGGGCGGCGCCGTGCCAGGGGAATGGCCCCCCCGAGGGCGGCTGGAGCACGCCCTCGGCGGGACTGTGGACATGCCCGGGGCACTCGGGCCCAGGATGCAGCGGGTAGGAAAAGTCCGGCTCCGGGAGGGAGCCCAGGGACGTGAAGAGAGGCTCAGTAACGAAGCGTGCTTTGGACTGGAGAAAGGCCAGGATGCGGGCGTACTTGGTGTCTTTGGTCTCCATCCTCTCTACCGTCGTCAGGTAGTGGACCAGGTTCTTCATGCACTCGTGGTAGCCGTAGTGGAAGTAATTAGCGAACTCGGAGAGCAGCTCTGCTGGAAAGGAAAGGGAAGGGAATCGAGCTCCTCAGGGTCTGGTCGGGAGAGGAGGGGGGAAGGCCGCCTCCATGCCGCGAGTGACCTGGCGGGGGCCGCGGGAGGTCGCTCCCGTCCACCTACCCTTCTCCCGGCCGCGGGGAAAGTCCGCCGAGTGCAGGGCACGCAGGTACTGCACCGTCATTTCCAGGATCTCCGCTTTCTCCAGCTTCCCCGAGCTCTGCAACGGGCAGGGCAGATGGGCATCACCTCTCCCCTGAGACTGCTCTGCGTTCTACTGGGCCGCCCCCTAGCCCCGCCGTATCGGGGGGGATGTCGGGGAGAAAAGGGCGTAGGGGCTGCTCCCCCCCGCCTACCTGCTTGGCCAGAGCCATGGGCACCGTCTTCCCCAGCTCGGTGAGGCAGCGGTTGATGCGGTCCCTCCTCCGCTTCTCAATCACTTTGTGGGAAACCGGCGTCCTCTGCAAAACATATGGGGCGCGTTAGTGGGGGAAGAGAAAACAGATGGATCCAGTCTCGCTGTGACAGCCGCCCCCGGTCTCGACCCCTCCAGGGAAGTCAGTCCCCAGCCCCGCTCGGAGCAGTGGTGCCGAGCGCGACGCGGCTTCGGGAAGGATGATGCTCCGGTGGCCGGTCCTCGCCGCGCGGGCCTGGAGGCTCCTCGACTGCGCGGACGGCCCCGGCAGGGCAGCCTTGGTTTTTTTGAGGGTCGTGTGGTTGTTTTTTTGTGGGGAGGCTTTTCAAAGGGAAAGGCGGCGAAGGGCTCGGGGCCAGGCCGGCTTGGCGGCCCCGCAGACCCGTGCGCGCAAGGCGGGCGACGACTCACCCTCCGCTCCTTGAGCTTGGAGGCCATGGTGGGCTCTGCATCCCCTCTCTCTCCGGCCCCCTTATAAAGCCATCACTTCTTGGGGGGGACCCCGGGGGGCCTCCACGGGCCCGCTGATCCCATAGGATTACGGGAGAGCGGCGCCGAGGGAGTGTATGCATTAAAGATCAGGGTGGAAGGGGGCGAGGGGATGAGGGGTTTTTTTTTCTTCTCTCTTCTTCCTTTCTCCCCCTCCTCGCCCCCGTCCACGCAGCCGGGGGCGGCCCAGCTGTGTCGCCCCACGTGGACCTCGGGGACACACGTGACTGTCCCACAATAGCGGCGGGGACGGGGCCGGGGATGCGGCGAGCGGGGCGCAGGGCGCGGTATCGCGCCCTGCGCCCCGCTCGCCGCATCCCCGGCCCCGTCCCCGCCGCCAGCCTTCAAATCCCCGGCACCCCCTACCCCTCCCCTTAGCCCCGGAGCTGACTGCATTTTAAAGCCTGTCCAGAGTCATTAAAGTAATTAAGTAAGCCCTTAATAGGCTGTTCCGCCCAGTTCAAGGGAGAACCCTTGGAGACGGAGTGGCCCCGTTTGTTCTCAGGCTTTTCTCACACGACTTGGTGACACGTCCATCTTTATAAGAGATGGCAGCGAGGATTTTTTTGTTTACACCGCTTTATGCGCCGGGGACACCCCGGCAGGTGTGGGACCGGGGGGCTGGCACACGATATCCCCCCCCATCACCCCCCCTTTTTTTTTTCCGTCGGCCCAGGGAGGCTCTCGCCAGGCTTTGGCACACGACGCTCCTTTTTTGTGTGGTGTGCGCGTCTGTGCGTTGTTGTTTTACCCCCCCTGCTCTCCCCCTCTCCTTTGGAGAGGCTCAATTTGTAGCCTATTATCCTATAGGAAAATGTCCCATTGAAAAGTATGAATAGTTTCATTGGGCCTAAATTTTAATAATGCGGGTCAAAGAAAAGAGGGGCAAATAAAGAGGGGATCGCAGCTGGTCCGAGAGTGCATTATTCGGTGTCACCTGCGAGCGGGATCGCCGACAGACCCCCTATTCATTTGCCTAATTTTGGTCAATTTAACAAACTTCAGGAGAAATTATTGTGGCATTGTTAAGGAGGGTAAAGCTTTCTGATCGAATTAACAGCATGTTTTGATCCGGTAAATGTCATTAAAAAGAAAGAAACAATCGCGTTTAAAGGGGGGCTCCGAGTTAAACGCGCCAAGTGGAGACGCCGGAGCGCAAAGCTCACAAAGGGAGCAAGTAACTGCCACAGGGGAACTTTTGTACGCTCACATTGCTGAGGTTTTTTACACAAAAAGGCATTATTTCATACTTGAATACGTTTAATCCAACAATTGTCTATTTTCTGCAAACATATTTTCACAGCATTGTTAGCTTTCCTCTCCGCGGCCCTCCGCCCGGGCAGCCGCGCTCCTCGCCTGGCGAGCGCACCGAGCCCCCGACCCGCCCCGCACAGCCCCGCACCGCCCCGCACCGCCCCCGGCCGCGGCGGCCATGGGAAATGTAGTCCGGGCCTCTCCACGGCCGTCGGTGCGCCTCCGGACCCGGCACGGACCGCAGGGCCGCCCTCCCGTCCTCCCCCCCCCGGCTCCGCCACCGCCCCCGGCCCCGGCTCTGCCGCGGGGCTCCACCACCCCCGAGGGGGAGGGAAAAGCCGAGAGCGACCGGGCCGGCGGCGGGGCAGCCCGGCGCCTGGCTCTGCCCTCCCGGGCGACGCCACCGATTTTACCACCACTGCGGTAAACGGCGATATCCCCGCCATGTGAGCTCGGGCAGTTGTTCTCTCGGAAACTCCCACGTCCTCCCTCGTATTCCCCGTTTTTCCACCCTTTTCTCTTTGCGGTTTAAAATGGGGAAACCATCCCCACCACATGTCCCCGGGTGAGCACGGCGGGTGGCACCGCCGCTCTCGCCCGTTCGTTTCCCCAGAAGCGGCCGGAGGATAGGCGAGGTGCCGGCCCTCACCCCAGTGCCCCGGGCTGGTCCCACCTCTCCGGGCCGGTCGGGAGGGCCGAACGCCTCCGCGGGAGGAGGCGGTGGTGGCCCCGGGGCGCGTCTACCCCGGTCGGCGGGACGGAGTGGGCAAGGCAGGCTGCTCGCCTGGGCACCCCTGCGTGCCGTGCCGCCGGCCGTATTATTCTTCCAGGAGCCTTGTAGGTTTCGGTATATTCATTCTCGTACAATGGGATTAAACACTAACCGTTATCATCCAAATTAACTAAATTCTGAATAGCAAATGAGGGGGCTTTTATTTTTTTCCTCCTCTTTTTGCTGCACTGGCGGAGATGGAGTTGATCCTCTTACTGTCTGTGTTAACCGCCAGCTGCAGGCACCTGCGAGGCAACTTCTTATACCAGGAAAGTTGTTTATTTGCTCGCTGGCTGTTCCTTCGTTGGTTCCCCCGCGGGCCGGGCTGCCCGGGTCAGCGGCGGGGGGCACGGGGTGGCCGTGGCATCCCCGCGTGTACCGCAGCCTCGTCCTCGGAGGGCTTTGGCGGGGCTGAAGCCAGAGGGAGATCACCCGACACTGCCGCGGTCGGACTGTCACCCTTTAGGGAAGCCAGGAGAAGGCAGGTTTGAGTATTTTTTAGTTTCTCTAGAGCGATTGTTGGCTCTCCTTGCGGGACACCCGTGTACGGCTCTTTGGCAACCCACGGCGGACACCCGCGTCCCCATCACCCTCCACCGGTTTTCGCCTCTCGCCCAGGAGTCCCGCGGGCCGCAGCCTTCTCCCCGGGCAAGGGGCGAGTCGGCGGCCGAGGCGCAAAGCCCTGTCCGGTACGCGCGGAGCGGGATGAGCCCGCCCTCGCCCCGGAGGCTGCAGTGCGAGGGCTGCAGGGCGAGGGCAGGCAGTACCGCCACGGCCGCCCGTCGCCCTCGCCCCGCGGCCGGCCCGGGGGTCCCCGCCTTGTGGGCCTCGGCCCCCGCGTTGCGCTGCCGGGGTGCGCACGGGTGCCGCGTCTCAGTGGCGTGTGGCCGTTGTCCCGTGGGAGCTGGCGCTGCCGACATCTGCCAGACATGGGCTGTGACAGGGAGGTGGAGATCCTCTGGGAGTCGTCAAGCTGAATTGGCATCTGGGTTTGCCTTTTTGAGAAAACAGATAATCTTCCCTCTGATTCTTCACCCCCTCTTTTCTTTTATGATTCCCATATAACGTTGAGGTTACATGCAATTACTTCACCAAGTAATCGAAACTGTGGATATTAGGCTTGAAAATAATTGTCGTGTGCAAGCAAGAAATCAGATAACCAGTCTCCCGTGGAAAGAGTTGTCCATGCAACTGCTGAGTCAAGTGCAAAGTTGTGTCCTAGTGTGGCTAGGGCTGGGGTTGGCCCTGCCAGCATGGTAGCCCCATACTGGAGATCCTGCTGTGTAATGTGGACAGACATTCACACTTCTGGGTGATCTCATGGCTGTTGGGGAGTGGGAGAACTCACAAGGTGCAAAAGGTCCTACTTGTAGAAGTGATAACTTTATTACTTGACAATCCTGGATCTGGAAAGAAGACGTGAGCCCCACTCAAGAGAAAGCATTTAGTTTAGGAGCTTAACCCTCAGCTGTATATAGTTCATCACGTGGTGCCAGCTTTTGCTGTGAGTTAGTTTACTCTTGCACTCTCAGTGCTAGCTTGGCTAGCAGTTTCAGTCTTTTCACAGCTCCTAATGCGCTCTGCCTCTGTGTATGCTTGGTCCACATCTCACATCTCCACCTTGTTCCTCAGGTGCAGAGGTATTCCTTACCTCAATGATATTGTTTGGTCCAGTTGTAGTCCACTTCCATGTCTTCCTTCCTAATGGAAGGGCCATGCTCCTCTGTTTGCTCACCTGCCATGAATAGTGGCATCAGCAGGGGGGAGGTGATAACATGATAGGTCTTGGGACTCCATGCCAATATGGTCCTTTGCAGAAGACGCCATGCTTGTAACTATGCGTCTCTTGTATTGTTGGGTAGATTCAGGGTGCTCTCCTCAAAATCCTAGAGTGCTCAAAGAGGTGCTATTAGTGCTTCAGAAGATTATGTTCTTCTCATTCTGTGAGATATGGTAATAAACCCATAAGCCAAACTTTGATCCTAAAACTCTAAAACTTTGATCTTTATTATAGGAAGTTGTCAAGTATCTCTGTGGTAGAAGACAGGACTTCCAGGTCAGTACTGCTCCTGAGTGCTGCTTTGTGCTTGTCAAATTCCATGTCTGAGGAGGCACAGTTCACTTTAAGTATGTTTTGTGGTGTAATTTCTATATAACATACTCTGACTCTGTTCTTCATGATTAAAAGCTTTTCAGGAATGTAAACTCTGATGTGGATTACTTTTAAATTATTCTTTGTATTAACTTTTTTGAGTGTGGATTGCTTGAAAGTCATTCTCATACATTCCTGTAATTTGTAATATCTCATTTGTTGACTTTTTTTCCCAGATACAAGATTTTAAGCTTATGTTTAGATTTATATGTAGTATAGCTAAAGTATTCAGAATTACATTGGGCAAAATATTTCACTGATTAAAATCAGGCATAGTTATATATGTTATAGCCATTTATAAGGGCTGATTTACATCGACAGAAGACCTGATACAGCTTTTGTTCATCAAATATGTATACATGGCAAAACTTAAGACTGCCCACTGCATGTTTGTACAAAGTGAGTCCTCCCAAGACAGTGGATAGATGTTTGCAGTTTTCCCAATGACAGCTATCTTCCCAGCCATGTCACTATTGAGACAGAATATGTTGCTGTTTAAATGACAGCCTGTCAGAATGAGAACAGAGTGCTAAAATTTATTTCAGTGGGATTTAGGTAATCATGAATCAGTGGGGAGGTGTACATTAAATTGCTTGTGACTGAGGTGTTCTAAATAGCTAAATAGCTAGATTAGTGACTGGCACAAATAAAGGTAGAAAACACAGGGGCTTTTTCTGCAATGACATGTCTAATGCTGAAAAATGTCTAGCCTCTCCTCTCCAGTCTTAGTAAAAACTAAAAACAAACAAAAGTAAAAACTTTTGCTCAGCATGGCTTTACAGAAGTGAAGTTATACTTAATCCACCCAATAATATTCTATGATGATGTGACAGGCTTGGTGGATAAAGAAAGAGCAGTGGATGTTCTGAAGAAGAGAAGGCTTCAGGGTGACCTTATTACAGCTTTTCAGTACCTGAAAAGAACCTACCAGGAAAATGGAGAGGGACTTTTTACAAGGGCACATAGTGACAGTACAAGGGGTAGGGGCTTTAAACTGAAATAGAGTAGATTTAGAGTAGTTATTTGAAAGAAATTCTTTACTGTGATGGTGGCACTGAACAGACTGCTCAGAGAATTTGTGGATGCCTCATCCCTGGAAGTGTTGAAGGCTGGGTTGGATGAGGATCTGAGCAACCTGGTCTAGTGGAAGGTGTCCCTGCCCACAGCAGGAGGGTTGGAATGAGATGGTCTTTAAGATCCCCTCCAACCCAAGCTATTCTATGATTCTGTGATCTTCTTGGCTTTTGATATTTTCTCCTGTAACATCCTTGTAGAGAAGCCAATGACCTGCAGGCTGGATGAGCAGAACTTAAAGCTGGCTGGATTGCTCAGTTCAGAGAGGGATGATCTGTGGCACAAAATCTAGTGTCTAGTAACTCCTGGTGTACCCCGGGGTTCAGAATTTGGTCTAGTCATGTTTAACATCCTCATTAATGAGATGGAACATACCCTCAGCAAGTTCTCACCAGAGAATCATTCTGCATCCAGAAGGCTCTCAACAGGCTAATGAAAAGGGCGGTCAGGAATGACATGAAATTCAGCAAAGGGAAATGCAAAGTCCTGCACCTGGGAAGAAACAGCCCCCTGCACCAGTACATGCTGGAGGGCTGACTGACTGGAAAGCTGCTCTGTGGAGAGAGGCCTGGGGATCCTAGTGGACATCAAGTTGAACACGAGCCAGCAGTGTGCCCCAAGAATGTCAGTGGTATCCTGGTGTGCATTAGGAGGATTATTGCCAGCAAGTTGTGGGAGGTGACCCTGCCCCTCTACTCAGCACCGGGGGAGTCCACATTTGGAGTTCTGGATCCAGTTCTGTGCTCTTTAGTACGAGAGAGAGATGGCCACACTGAAGGGACTCCAGCAAAGGGCCACGAGGATGATTAGGGGATTGGAGCACCTCATGTAGGAGGAGAGGCTGAAGGAGCTGACACTGCTCAGAATAAAGAAGAAAAGGCTCAGGAAAAGCTTACCGCTGTGTTCAAATACCTGAAGGAAGGGTGTAAAGAAGTTGGAGCGAGACTGTTTTCAATGGTTCTCAGTCATGGGAACAGAGGCAATGTGCACAAACAGAAACACAGCAGTTCTGCCTGTAATAGGAAACAGCTCTTCTGCTGTGAGGATGGTTAATCACTGAAACAAGTTGCCCACAGAGTTTGTGGGGTCTGGAGATGGTCCTGGGCAACGGCCTCGAGGTGGCCATGCTTGAGCAGGGAGGTTGGACCAGATGACCTCCTGAGATGTCTGCCAACCTCAGCCAAGTTCTGTGTGCTTCCTGTGTGAATATTTAATTTTGGTGTAATTCAGCCGCACTTTGGTTTGGCATAGAAGAAATGTATTTTTTCTTACTCTACACAGCAGATTGAGCTCTTTTACTCTGTTCTCAACAGGACAATTCATTTAGATACAGGGTTTTTACACCTGTGTCAAGAAGAATAAATGGGAGGTAAGCACAGTCTTTCTGTTAATTGTAGTTCACCATGTGTTGTATTGCAACTCGGCCCATTAAAGACTCATTAACATCCATTATACTTATGACTGCTTTGTAAACAATGCTAATTCAATAGGACTTCAGAGCTTAATTCCCTCTAGAGTCCTTT